CATTGAGCTCCCCACATAGCGAGGTGGAGTGTACCTCGTGGGTAGGTATGGCATATTGATTAAAGGGAGGCTGGAAGGCCAATGATGCAAAACTAGCTCCTTTTATTTTATTGGAATTTGAGTAATTCCAAATATGTACAAGACTATTACGAAGTTTAGAGTAGACTCAGATGGTTAATTCTGCAAATGGAATGATTTCTGACTGTCCGTAATGGAATGAGAGGATTACTTCCGTCTGTGCAAATATGGGTGAGACTGACAAGCCGTGTGGCCTGCTGCAAATTGCCCGTTTCACACTGCTTCCCAGCTGAGGCACCTGAGAGTGTCTGCAGCTCTGGAACGAGTCACTCAAGAGAGAAAAAGAAAACTAATGTAAACTGATATCATAGCTATTTTGAAAAATAAGCCAAAACATGTACGCTACAGTTCCCTCCTTTTAAAAAATTGATCTTGGGGGAGAGAGAGAGAAACACAGATGTGAGAGAGAAACACTGACCAGTCGCCTTCCCAAGGCACTCCTACCAGGGGTTGTGCCCCAAGTCTGAGCACGTACCCTGACCGGGAATTGAAATGGTGACCTTCTGGTGCACAGGATGACACTCAGCCAATCGAGCCACATTGGCCAGGGCTACAGTTTCTCTTTTGATGTGTCAATCATGCTTGGGAGAACTGCATGAGCTGCCCTTGAGATAGTCACCTATGGAGTCCCAAACAGGGTCAGTAGAGCACTTTCAAGAAAGCTGCAGAAATACAGCAGGCTGTGTCCTTCCTTTATTAAAGTCAGCTAAGTCAAGTTCCTCACTGTACTCGTTTTAGAGTCTAAGTTCTGTGTGCCCAAGTACTTTATTGTGTCCTGCTCCGTAGGGAAGCACTGCTATGCATACACCTAACTTTGAGGGTGTGTATGATACCAGAACACGCCTCACTGTGGGGAAGGGAGAGAGCTAGGGCCAGACTCCTCTTTGTGTCTGAGTTTGGGGAGGAAAATGGAACTCGTAATGTGATTCCCATCAGCAGCTAGCCCTTTAATCTATACAAATGAAATACTCAATTTAATAGAATTCTAAAAATAAAACAAATGCTTTGTTCTTGGTGAATCTGCCATTCAGAGCTCCTCTTGGCAGCACATCAACCGTACTTGAAATGTCTTTAAGTGGGTATTTTTTTTTTTATTGTGCTTTTCATCCGAACACATCTTTTGAGCTGTTAGAGTTTTGAACAGGCCGAACTCTTCTTAGTATTGGGTCTGTGTTGCTCTAAGGTCGCCATTTGCTGACTTAGCAATAAAGAACTTACTTTAATAAGTTAAAAAAAAAAAAATCTTTATTGATTTCAGAGAGAGGAAGGGGGAAGGAGAGAGAAAGACAGAAACATCAATGATGAGAGGGTTGTCATTGATCTGCTGCCACCTGCATGGCCTGGACTGGGGATTGAGCCTGTAACCCGGGCATGTGCCCTGACTGGGAATCGAACCGCAATCTCCTGGGTCCTAGGTCGATGCTCAACCGCTGAGCCACACCCGGCCAGGCAATAAGTGTTTTGACCATGGAGTTTAGAGGCTAAAAACTAAAAGAGCAAATTAAAATAAGTTTGGGGGAGAAAGAAATACAGCATAAGGAGGTGTTTGTAATGAAATGGGTTATAAATTGCTACCAAAGTAAAACTATTATTCTGAGGAAATTGGGAGTGAAAAAGTGCCATGGAACGTGAGAATTAAGAAATAATCTCTACTATTTATTGAGCATTTACTATGTCTGGGCACTGTGTTATGAGTTTTTCATACAATATTTCATCTAAACCTGCCCATATCCCTATGAGTTATAAGGAAGAAATTGAGGTCTAGATGGGTTGTTACATAAGAAGTGGCTCAAGCCCTGATCTACCTGACTTCATGGTCTTCTCTAAAGTTTGGTGGATTCTTTTTTGTATTTTTTTACGTGCATCAAAACATTAAACATTTTTATTAATTTATCAAGAGTATTTGCATAAATCTTACATTTATTAGCATTTTCGTGGGAGTATTTAGAATTTCAAATCACTTGGTTTTAAAATGCTATTTAGGCCTATTTAATTTGGAGCATTTCTGTCATTGGAAGCTTTGCAAAAAATTTGGAAAACCTTTTTCAGTGGGTTGAGATGCCTACTTGTGGAGTCTGGAAGTGTGCAAGAGAAAAATGAATTCTTGTTTACTGTCTGATTGCAGCCATGAGGTCCTTGTGCTAAAACGTTGCATTAAGAATTAGTGTACAAAATTATTAAGCTATATTTTCAGGGGTGCATGCTTTTTGCTGTCAGTCTAGGGCCTGTGAGGCAGGGGCTGAGTGGATACTCTGCTGTCCAGTGGACAGGATTACAGTTGACACAGAAGATGCCCATGTGTTGCTGGAGACCTTCTCTCAGAGCCCAGCTTGCCTGGCTCACTGTCACACACATGTGCTCTCAGGGCAGGCAGGTGAGGGGACTTACAGCCATGAGGGTCTTTCCCGCAGAGAAAGGCTGCTGGGTTGCAAGTTATTAGTAGTCATTGGGGGAAACAATTCTTTCTTAGTTGCAACCATGTCTATTTCCTTTTCCATCTATGTGAAATATTGTGCAAATAGCGTTGGAACACAACGAACTATCTCTTGATTCCTGTCCTCTAAGAACTTAGAATCCCCTGGGAAAGGTAACACATAATCACTAGAAAAATAAGGTTAAAGGAGGAAAAAGATAATTTCTGGTCCCCTTCCTACCTACCTCAGGAACTGGCCCTGGTGCCTTCTTCCTGAGGGTAGCAAGTCAGTTCTTCTGTTCGTTGATGTCTCCGCAGGCCCTGGAACAGAGCCCGCACAGAGACACTCAGTAAACATGTGCTGAGGGAATTCATGGCGTTCTCAGCCAGAAGGGCTTCATAGAAGCAAATGGGATTTAAGGTAGTTCTTTATAAAAGAAGTTTTATAGATATGTTTTGGGGGAGAGAGAATCAGGAAAGTATGAGGTCCATTTGGGGAGAACTATGGTGGATGAGCTGATGAAGGAAAGTTTTGAGAGATATTATCAGGAAAATAGGTAGGAGCCACATTTCCACACTTTGGAGGGCATTGGATTTCTGACTGAGGGGTGCTCAGGCTGTGTGTGTGTTGTTTTTAGAAGGAGTTGATTAGAGCAGTAAAGCAGACCAGGGATGTGACCAGACATCCCCAGCCTGGAAGACAAATTGCATGTCCACCTTCTAAATTTTTGTTGCTCACGTAGGAGAAGGTGTTTTGTTTTGTTTTTTTACTTGCACTGAGTAGATGGATTATTTGATATGAAGTCATTATAATTTGCTGACATAAACACTAGACTGTAGTTTGTTGCAGGGATATCATCGAACCTGTTTTACTGGTTTCTATTCCTAGTCACCTGGGGGACTCCTGGCCTGAATTATACTTTTGCTTTTGCCTGATCTCTCTGTAGAAGAACAAATAGGGGGAAAGAATAACAGGTAAATGAATGTTTTCTAATCCATGGAAGCCTACCGGTCACTTTTACATATATAATGTTATTAATTTACTGTATTTCATATACCCATTCGAATTCAAAGAGTATTAAAATGTTTATAAAATTTTTAAAGCTCAGCTGGCATGGCTCAGTGGTTGAGTGTTGACCCATGAACCAGGAGATTCCAGTTCAATTCCTGGTCAGGGCACATGTTTGGGTTGCGGGCTCCATCCCCAGGAGGCAGCCGATCAATGACGCTCTCTCATTATTAATGTTTCCATATCTCTCTGCCTCTCCCTTCCTTTCTCTGAAATCAATAAAAACATATTTAAAAAAAATTTTTTAAAAGGTGAACCCATTAGAGAAAAGGAAAATTAAGATAAGAAAAATAATGGAAACCGGTGGAGTTTCTTGCACAAAATGCCTGCCATGGCGACTTGTACACTTGCTAGATTTGGGGCTTGGAGAGAGCAAAACATGATGAGTTATATGGTTCACAGTGTTCGTGAAATAAAAAATAAAATACCCAGGAGCAGCCCAGCTAGTTCTGGAACCTGAGAGAGAATTTTCCTATGAGTCCTCATAAAGAAGACTCTGAAACATTTAATTTTAGCTGCCAGTGAGAAGAGTTGATATCTTCTTGTGAAAACTCAGAGGAGTCAGAGGAGAAGCCCTGCTGCCAAGAATGGACTGAGGCGGGCAGGGCCAAGGCTGTCATCTTCAGCCCCTAGAACCTCAAGGAGTAGCTTTGCAAGGGACTCTCTGAGATATACTCTTATCCCCTTCAGATCATTCTGCAGTTATGCTTGTCTATTTGTTTACTGTTTCTTCTCCCAAAGAGATTGTAATCTGCACAAGGGCAGGGCTTTATGTTCCTTACTATCCTTTCATCACCACAGAGCACAGAATTCGTGTATATTAGGAGCTTAATAAATATTTATTGAAGGAAGGAATGCAAAGACCTAGTGATAAAATATACCCTAAGGTAACTGAATTAGTTAGGGATTTTTAACTTATAAAATTTAGTTTTATAAGTTAATTTAGTTTATAAGATTACATTAGTTTGCTAGCTATAAGAATATTTGAAATATTTATCAGAATTGATCTTGGAACAGTTGGTAGAAGACATTCTTCTTGTCAGTAATCAGATAACATCAGATGTCTGGTGAGTTCACCCCACACAGGAAACCTTTAGAGTAGGTTTTATAATCCATATCTCACCAATGAGGACACAAAAGCTCAGAGAAGTTGAATTAGGGTTTTTTCCTGCTTATAAAAATAATGAAAAATTTTAAATCAGATATTTCTGTGATTATATAATATAATTTGGCTGTGGTGTAGGTGGCAGCTACATTCACACACATCAGTTAAATGTTAGGCATTTCTAAAATAATTGAGGTGTCCGTGGAAACCACTTATATGGCCAACTACTTCTTGCTTCCTTTTTAAATGGGGGTGACTGTCATTCCTGCTGAGAGAATGTATGAATTCCATTGCTTATGGTGGCTGATTAAGGGCTATGTCTTCCCACCCTACAGGGACACAGAGTACAAAGGGCTGCAACTCTCCCTGGATCAGATCTCGGTCTCCAAACCAACCTTCTCCTACGCCAGCAGCTCCACTCCTACCATGCCCGACAGCAGGAAGGGGGCCAAGTCCAGACTCTCCAGTTCAAAGTCAAAATCCAGGACTTCCCCATACCCTCAGGTATGTGCGTTGCCATTTTGCAGATTTCTTTCTGTGTGACCTGGTTTGGTCTTTTCGTGGAGGAAGTATGAAAAATGTTTGGAATGAATTACCTGGTTTTAATAAATTTAAAACCTCTATAAATCTGGAAAGCTTTCCAAAACTATTTTCTTTCTCCTGTTCTTTCCTTCAAATAACCATGCTAGCAAAAATTTGAAATGAAATGATCTTGTGTTTTACTGCTTTGATATAAAGGTTGTGAGAGTCTCAGTTTGCAGTCAGAATTATAACTTTGTTATTTCAAGGAGATTGATCCAAAATTTCCCCCTCACAATGATTAACCAGAAAGATGTAGCCAGCATAGCAAAATATGGGAAACAAGAGCTTGACGTAGAAGAATTGAATCTTAGGACAGGAACTGAAGTCAAAGGAAATTAAGAAGTGGAGGCAAAGGATCAAGGATGCATTTCATCATGAGATTTGAGCACAGATGGACTATTTATGGGGAGGAATGAAGCAGAGAGGGTCTTCCAGATGGCAGGAGTGGTAGGAAAAGCAACTCTTCTCATCTTTGCAAGGTGGTGAGCTGATGAGACCCAGAGGAGGCATTGCGGAAACACTGCAAGGTACAAACACGAGTCCTGATTCTTGGAAGGAAAAAAATTATTTTTCTGATTAGTCACAAACTTATAGACTGTGCCAAGGTGTGGACACAACTCTCTCCTGGCCTGAAGGGAGTAGGACAGAACTGGGATTCCCCACTCCCAATATCCTGTGACCACCTCACTTCCATCCTGCTCCTTAAGGGTGCCACATCAAACTTCCTGCAGTTTAGGAGAGTAACTCAGGGATAATCTCTGGGATAGTATAAAACCAAACTGGATTTGGAGTCATTTCATTAATGTGTCTTTATTGCTTATGTTTTTAATATATTTTTAGTGTAAAAATGGCAATCTAGTATGTACAGAAATGATTATCTCCTTATCAGAGCATATTATTCTATTGATTTCTACAAGTATATACTGTTGGAAGAAATGTCATTTATTGACCTAACGGTCACTAAGAAGCTACTACTTGCTAGGTTATTTTAGTGGCTTAGTATATGAAGATGAGAAGATCGTGGCTTCAAGAGACTTAATGGTTTAAAATCTCCCACAAAATACCAGATTCTTTGCTCTGATGAAAGGGAGAGAAGTAGATGGGTGATTCCTAGACATTCTTCAGTGGACACCTTCTGTTATGAGGACTGAACACTTTACTTATAAAGTACATTTTAGTTAAAGTCACTATGGAGGAGGAATTTTTATTGAACAGCTGAGAAGCTTTTCTTATTAGTATCTTGTACTTTGGGAAAAGTTTTACTTTCTGTTTTACTACTTGAAAGGATGGGTTATATCTTCTGGTAACTCAATCCTTAAATATATAGGAGTGTTGGACACATAGATGAAAGAATTTAAATTAGGAAGTACTAAGTTAAGAAGGAGTTTGTCCATTATACAGAAATTAAGCCAAAATCTCCCCCCACTGAACTTCCAGAACTTCACTGTCTAAGCCTCTGTTTACTTTCATGCTTAACTCTTTATTTTTAAAAGATGTTTTTGCTGATTTTAGAGAGAGAGGAGGGGAGAGGGAAAGAGAGAAAGAAGAACATTGATGTGAGAGAGTAACATTGATCTGCATACCCCTACTGGGGGTTGAGCCCTCAACCTGCATGTGTCCTGACTAGGAATCTAACTGGGGACGTCTTGGTACACTGGCCAATGCTCAACCAACTGAGCCACACCAGCCAGGGCTCATGCTTAGCTCTTAATGTCTAAAATTTTTATTAGTTTACTACTCATTTTAAAAAAATATTTTAACCACCATGAGGCTGCTTCATGTGCGTGTGTCTGTGTGTTGCAGGAGGATGAGTTCATTTGAAAGTTATACAGGTTTCATAGTTTTAAAATATGTAACGCAGAATAGTAGAAAGTAAAAAAAAAAAAAAAAAATCCCCTTTTATTCCCTCATTTCCCTCTCCAAAGTTGTTCTTTATTTTAGAAATGTTCTATGAAATATAAAAAGCATGCACATGCACACACATATGTCCACATAGGCTTTCTCTTGACGTTTGTTCATTTTTGTGGTTAATATGTATATAAATGTGGTCCTTAGAATTTGGGCTGTATGTCTCATTTGAAATTGCACAGTCATGAATTAAGTTTATTTAACATTTATGTGTCTAGCAAAGGTTGTTCTTTAATTGTGTTTACTTTAGATAATCATGGTGTTGGGCCAATCATTGACTAAGTTCCTACTACATGGGCTGCAAATAGACAAGGGAACAGGCATCTGTAGTGAATGGTCATGGGGTGAGCAGCGGATCCTCTGGGGACACATTGAAAAAGCATGACATCCAGGACGAACTCATTACTGTTTCTGCTGAAAGAAAACAACTTAGTACCATCATCTTGAATTCCAAGTCCTCAAAAATTTTAAAGAAAAAAATTATGTAGCTTCTCAAAAGTCTTACTTGGTTCATATTATCCTTCTATTACTAAGGGATACTTAATTTTCATTTTCATGTATTACATCCTTGACTCAGTAGATGCTAGCTGAGCACCTACATCAGAAAGATGCTATGCTGGCCATTGTGGTGAAGGAGGGCAGGTGTTGGGTAAAAGGTGCTAGAATACGAAGGAGGTGTATATGAAGTGTCCTTCAGTTTTGTAGTACAGTTGGAATAAATTAATTATTTGAATACATAGTGTATAGGAGATGGTGTACACAAAGGGCTTTATGAGTGGTGTCAGCTGCAGGAACTCCAGCCTGGATGGCTGGGGAAGGTGTTGTAAGTGATCTGGTTTGGAGGGTAGAATTCAGGCGTATGGGCATAAGAGAAAGGAGAGGATACTTCAGGATGACCGAGATGATGAAGAAATTCAGGAATGCATTGTTCGTGTGATTGGGCTTGGAGTTGACGCCGAGAAGGGCAGGTCCCTGTGGAGGCTGACTAGGAGTGATATGTCTTGAAGCACTGAACAGCGCTAACCGGCTGCTGCCAGGACCGGGGAATGTGCGGGGATGTAGAAATCATTTGGTCTGGCCCTGCCAAGGCGGCCGCAGGCGGGACTTGAAATTCAATAACTCCAGGGGCTTTTCTCATAGCTAATTTTTAAGTCGATAATTTTGTATGGCCCGTGAATGATGTTATAAATCTCCAAGTGGCCCTTGGCAGAAAAAAGGTTCCCTACCCCTCTTAGGCCAAGGAGTTTAGAGTTTGTTTTGTGGAGAAGCAGTAAAGGTTTGAATAGAAGATGAGAGCATTCATGTGGCTGATGCAAAGCAAACTGCTGAGGAGACCCACTTTGGTAGCCCCGGTGTGAGTGCGTGAAGGCCTGAGCTAAAGCTCTGCACTGAGGTAAAAGGTGTTGTACAGGAAAAACGGGTAAACTTCTGTCTTTGGCTGCTTGTACCTGTTCTCGTTAAAGATATATTTTGATCATTATAGATTTATTTTGAAATTATATTTTGAAACTTACTTTTTCTTCAGATAAATACCCAGAAGTGGGATTGCTGGGTTGGATGGCAGCTCCATTTTTAATTTTTTGAGGAACCTCCATACTGTTTTTCACAGTGGCTGCACCAATCTATAACCCCACCAAGAGTGCACGAGGATTCCCTCTTCCCCGCATCCTCACTAACGTTTGTTATTTGTTGTCTTTTTTATCACAGCCGTTCTAAAAGGTGTGAGGGAATATCTCATTGTGGTTTTCACTTGCATTCCCCTGATGATTAGTGATGTTGAATATCTTTTTACATGTCTGTCGGCCATCTGTATGCCTTCTTTGAAGAAAATATCTGTCCAGGTCCGCTGCCCATTTTTTTATTGGATTTTTTGTTATTTTGATGTTGAGTTATATGAATTCTTTATGTATATTTGAATATTAACCCCTTAGTGGATGTATCATTTGCAAATATCTTCCCCCATTCAGTAGGTTGCCGTTTTGAAAGATACATGCATCTGTATGTTTGTTGCAGCATTATTTACAATAGCAAGATATAGAAGTAACCTAGGTGTCCATTGATAGACAAATGGATAAAGAAGATGTATCTATATGCGGCAGAATATTACCCAGTTATAAAAAGAAGAAAATCTTGTCATTTGTGACAATCTGGATGACCCTAGAGGGTATTATGCTAAGTGAAATAAGTCAGAGGGAGACAAGTACTGTATGAATTCATGCTGTGGAATCTAAAAAACACAAAACAAAAATAAAACAGAAATGGGCTCATGTATACAGAGAACAAACTGATGGTGCCAGAGAGGAGGGTGGAGGGAGGGTGGGTAAAGAAGGTGAAAGGGAATAAGAAGTACGAACCTCCAGTTATATAAAAAAAAGTCACAGGAATGTAATAAACAGCATAGGGAAAATCGGCAGTGTTACTGGAATAACTTTGTATGGCGACGGATGGTTACTAGACTAGTATTGTCATGATCGCATTGTAAGGAATAGAAATGTTGAGTTACTATGGTGTATACCTAACACTAATATAAAGTGTGTGTCAGCTATACTTTAATAATAAAAAAAGCTTACTTTTATAGCTAATGACACACTTGTACTGAATTTCCATTTATATATTATTAATAGACACATAATAAATGCATTTTTAGTTAGTGGATGATTAAGCTCTTAATTGTACTTAATTTTAAATACTTTTCCCTCTTTTCTCANACAAGGCTGCCTAAATAATTCCAAAAAGCAGTGTTGCTGTTTGCCATTCTTCAGACATCTGTTAGAAATTTCTAGATATGCCTAATATATACTAGAGCAAAGAATCTAATAAATAATATATATATTTGGTTATTTCCACATTTACGTATTTGTAGCATGCAAATTTTCATCAGATTTTTAAAGAGGCAGTTTCCAGAACAAAACTGACCTCACAGCATAACAGGTTTATGCATTTTATTAGTTATAAAAATGGTGTTTTAGTAATTCTATATTATTTATTAGATTCTTTGCTCTAGTATATATTAG